TTTATTTTTCCCTCTCCCCATCCACACCACATCATCGATATCCCTCAGGGAATTTTTTTTTTTGCGGGAACACCTATTCAGAGTGAGGAGAGGTGTTGATTCATTCTCCGCAATGTTTTTTTCTCTTATCTCTCACAATGCGTTCGGTTCTTTGCCGGGGGATTTGTTGTTTCGAGAGCACACTCTCCAGCGAGGGCGGGAGCATTTTTATTTGTGGGTTTTAACTTATTTTCTCTCTCACTCAATAAAAATGGATTCCTGTTCCCCCCGGGGGTATTTGTGAAACGGGACCTCCGCAGGATGAGGCCCAGAAATCAGGATTTTAAAAAGATTCCCAGGTGATTCTAATGTGCAGCCAAGGTTGAGAACCGCTGCTCTATGCCCTCCCCTCATCCCATGTGCTTGACATTCTGTCTATAAACATACCATTTGTTACTACAATAGCTTATATAGTTTGCTGTAAACTTCAGTATCTCCTTTTCAATACTGTGCAGTTGCTTTTAAAAAATCTAAATGCAAGACTTTAAGTAAAATACTGCTATATTTCATTTCATTTGTTTCACTCCATTATGCCAATTAAGTCACATTGCTTCCTACCTTAATTCTGCAATACAGGGTATCTTCTACCCTGTCTAGCTCTGTACTACAGTTTTATGGCTACCTTATGACTTCTATTTTGTTTTTTGAAACACTGTACAGACCACTTCTAAGAACAGAGCTCTCTGACATGTCACTAGAGACCTCTTTAAATGTTGGCACTGATTCATTAAAATATATTTTTTTAAATATGGATTTTACATTCCTTTCAAATCTAGCAATGTATTTAATAATCTATATTATATTTCATCTCATTTATAAGGGTGCCATGGAAAAGTTTACCAGAATGCTATGTCTGCAGCATTTTTGAGTCACAGATATAGGGAATCTATCGGAAAAGAAAATGCAGCTAGCTTATTGAAGCCTGTTCCTGATTTACCCATGTTAGCTCCCAATACCAACAACTGCCTTTTCCAACTGGAACAAAGGATTCATGTTTCAAAACAGTGAAGTTAACCTTATCAAGGTAGATTAGGCCTAATGCACATATCTGGATAAGAAGTGTGGACACAATCCTGAGGGTGATGGGAGGTTGTTGAAGTTTTAACAAGATGGCCCAGGATAACAAGCCGTTGCCTATGTTACAGTGACACAATTAGACAAGGGCAATGGCTGTGTAGGCCTAATTGTGCCTGGAAGTGGGCATCACCTTCTAGACAGGTTGGAGGGGAGTACAAACCACACCTAGGGAGGCACTAGGTAAAACCAAAGTGTAGAACAAGCAGAAACAAAGGAGAGGATTTGGGTTTTGTGTAGATATGGGCATTTAAACCCATTAATCTAAGCCTGCTTGAAAATTTATGCAGCTCTGCCCATTTTTTGCTCCTTATTGATTTAATGCATCTTATTGTGTTAATACATTAAGTAGTTTTGTAGTCCTAGTGCTTTACCTGTGCAGCTAATTTGCATTGTGGTATGGAGGAAATTATAGCTTGGGAAAATGCAAGAGCTTGCAATCCATAATTCCCTGTGATAATCCAAGATTTTTAGTTATAGAAAATTAAAAGGTGTTCCCTCTTTCTTCAATAAACTTAATGACAGAGTGAGAACAAAAACCCACCAACACAGTCATGCAGATTCTATTATGAAAACAGGAAAGAATGGATCTTCTACAAGATAATGGTACCCACACCTTTCTCCTGATGATTGGCAGCAAGTCCACCAAGAGCATGATTCCAGGGGGCACCCACCTTTCACATTGGAGTATGTGTGAATGGTGCTCCCTGAAGTTGGGTACACAGCCTGTGTGGCCATATGTGGCGGCTCACAGAGGGGCCTATATGATTCATCCTGGGGCTTTCACCCAGCCCGGCAGGTGCATATCTGCATTGACCTGTGGCATTCATCACCAGCCTAGCCACACTCCCTTCCCAGCCAAGCTGAGTCAGTATTCTTTAATCCTGACTTATCATTTTATATCAGTTCAGATCTATTCAGTTCCCTCATGGCTTCCCACTGGACCTCTGTTACAAGCCAAAACACATCCTTCTGGCTCATTTGTTTCAGTCATTCTGTTGACCTTTTCAAAGCGATTTGCTGCTCTCACTATCATGCGCATTGTCATAGTTAAGTAGAAAAAACCAACAGTCACACAAGCAGGAAACTGGCATCTTCCCAGCACTTGGTGCAGGCTTCGGTTTTAGCACTTACCCCCACAGCACCATAAACATTTATTTACATTTCTGACTCCTTCACTCAGTGTGAGGTGAATGAAAGGCAGAATGATGCTCCTTTGAGCCACAGGTCTTAGTGGGTGTTAGCACATAGTAGGTCCTCAAGTAATGTTTGGTAAGTAGATGAGTAAATGAATAGATTACCTTTCTTAGATTTGGACACAATAGTCTCATTTTGAGCATATGGTTTAAAGATGATTCTTCTCTCTATTATGTACAATGGCCTTTTTTAAAATCTTCCTGGGTGAGGCTAAGAGAGATTGCTATGTCTCCACCAATGGTTTCTGGGTCTTTTGTTTATCCCTCTGCAGGTGGGGAAGTGGAAAGACAAGTCCCTGCAGATGAAGTACTACTTGTGGCCCCGAATGTGTCCTGAGACGGAAGAGCAGGAGGATGACCATCTGAGCATCGTAACGCTGGAGGAGGCTCCATTTGTTATTGTGGAGAGTGTGGACCCTCTGAGTGGAACCTGCATGAGGAACACAGTCCCCTGCCAAAAACGCATCGTCTCCCAGTACGGCACCTTCCCCAGTGGCTTCAGATGGCATGGGATAGTCAGATTTGACCCAGCTGTTAGCACTTGGCCTGCCTGGGACTTGAAGCATAGAATGAATTGAGCGCCATGCCTGATTTCCATTTACCATTGAGCAATGGGATTACTGGCAGCCCTGTGTTCTGATGTCTGGTTCTGTCCAGATCATGACCTGGGAGAATTTCTGCCAACTATACTAATGTTTCTTTGGCCTTGTCTGATCTCAGCGACTAGAATCTCCAGTTTGTGGAGATTCAAGTTTACATTGGTGATGAAATATATTTGGGGGAGCCAACATGTCCTGAAATTTTGAGATTTAGAAACATTTTAGAAATCAGGATAATGGTTCCCTTTGGTGATGGTGGGAAGTGCCTGAAAGGGAGAATAAGAGGCCTCTAAGAGAGCAGGCAGACAGCTCTGGTGGGGGTAAGGATAGGGGGAGATAATGGGATTAAGCAATAAAGAAAAAAAAGAGAAAGAACTCATGAACATGGACAACAGTGTGGTGATTGTAGGGGGAGAAGGGGTTGGGTACAGGTGAAAGAGGGTATAGGGGGAATAAATGGTGATTGGGGTTGGGGAGAAAATAAAAATATTATAACTCCCAAAATAAAAGAGGCCTCTAAGGTGCTGGCAGCTTCTCTGCATCTGGATTTGGGTGCTGGTTAAATTGGTGCATTTATTGTGTGAAAATTCATCCAACTGAACCCTTAGGACAGGTGCACTTTCCTGATGTATATTATACTTCAAAGGAGCATTAAAAATTGTCAGAAAATCTAGTTTGCTGCCTTGAGTTAATGAGCGAATTGCAGCTCTGTGGTCTGATTTATTCCCTCGCTTAGGCCTGATGTAAATTGTGCTGAGCTATGAACGGGGTTGGGGTTGTAATGGCAAAGGGTAATATTTTGCTTCTTACATAAAGCCTTGTTTTTGTGTTGCTTTGTTTCTTTAACTGCTTAGGAATAAAACAGATGAGGAGCCAGGTTACATCAAAAAATGCTGCAAGGGCTTCTGTATTGACATCCTTAAGAAAATTTCCAAATCTGTGAAGTTCACCTATGACCTTTACCTGGTCACCAATGGCAAGCATGGGAAGAAAATCAATGGAACCTGGAATGGTATGATTGGAGAGGTGAGTACCAGGAATCAAGGGTCATTTCCAGATCATGTCCTGGGAAAATTTCAGCTAACTGTACTAATGTTTCTTTGGCCTTGCCTGATCTCAATGACTAGGACCTCCAGTTGATGGAGATTCAGTTTACACTGTTTCATTTAGATATCAAAAACACTCATTTTATAAATCTTAGAAAATATAAACTAGTAAATAGAGTATATACTCTTCCCACTGCACAAAGAAAACCACTTTGGACGATGAGTTATTTCCCGTGTGGAGGCCCCTCCCCTTCCTGAATGTTCTAATTGGAGCATTGGGTCTTTCTTCCCAGGTGGTCATGAAGAGGGCCTACATGGCAGTGGGGTCACTCACCATCAACGAGGAGCGATCCGAGGTGGTCGACTTCTCTGTGCCCTTCATAGAGACCGGCATCAGTGTCATGGTGTCACGCAGCAATGGGACTGTCTCACCGTCTGCCTTCTTAGGTAGGTGATGAGCTTGCTGATGTGAAGGAAATAGACACAAGGGCAGGTAGATGGAATGAGGCACAGTGAAGGGCAGGTGGCCAGGCTCTTTCAGCCAGGAGGTGGTTTGCTGGAAGCTTAGCTCAGCCAGGATTTCATTTTGGGGGGTTTCACTACCCCCCAAAAATAGAAAGGGTTATAAGAAAACAGTGCTGGAAAATAGAAAGGGTTATAAGAAAACAGTGCTGGAGTGGTAATCAAGTGTCCTACTTTAGTCCCATTCCTGCTACTTAATCATCATTTGACCTTGAGCAAATTTTCTTTATCCTCGGACTCGGCTTCCTCAACCATAGAAGACATTTCAACTAGCCGATCCTTGAAGCTGCTTCCTGCTTTAATAATTTCTAATTGTGGATATCATTGAAATACGTATGATTTCTAAAAATATATTGATTGAGGGAGAGAGAGAGAGAGAGAGAGAGAGAGAGAGAGAGAGAGAGAGATTGATTTGTTGTTCCACTTATTTATGCATTCATTGGTGGTTCTTGTATGTGCCCTGATTGGGGATTGAACAGCAACCTTGCCATATCAGGATGATGCTCTAACCAACTGAGCTACCCAGCAGGGTGAAATATCAATGATTCTAAATTTTCTTCAAGAATTGAGCTCAGTGCTGCCTAAAAAGGTTTTCTGTTTCCACATGAATTTTCTGAGGCTTTGTCATATAAAGCTGATCTGATTCTCCTCCCCATCTCACCCCAAGCTTCCTCGTAGCATTCAGTGCTTCCCCACTCTCCAGCATCACTTAGGTGTTAAACGTTTTAGATATAAGACTAGGTAAGACCAGGGTTTCAATTAGATGAACTCTCTTATGAGCTCATACCCTATATTTCTGGCAAGAGCTGTGAGAACAAGGGGTTGAAAAATAATGTGTCACCTTGAAAACAAAACACTGGGATAGGAGACAGGAAGCCTAGTTTGGATATAAGATGTAAGCCCTTGGACAAGTCACAGTCTCTCTAATGGACATCAACTTTTTTTATGAGGATGTTGGAATAAACCATGATTAACATTTCCTTAGGCTCTATGGGGGAGGGGTGGTATTCAATTAAGGCACTGCAAAGTGGTGTTAGAGGTTCTATACTTTTCTATAAATTACTCAAGTTTCCCAGCCAACCTTCTTACTCGCAGTCAAGCCAATTCTGGCTCTTACAATTTTATATGAAATGTTATTAGATAGCACACACTCTATGTATGCATTAATCCTCATAGTAGCTTTATGTATTTTATTTGCTTTTTCCTTTACAAGGATAATTTGAACATTAAGATATACAAACAAAACTACAGTTTAGGCCCAGTCGGCATAGCTCAATGGTTGAGTGTTGACCTGTGAATTAGGAGGTCAAGGTTCAATTCCCAGTCAGGCCATATGCCCAGGTTGTGGGCTCTATCCCCAGTGTGGGGCATGCAGAAGGCAGCCGATCAATGATTCTCTCTCATCATTGATGTTTCTATCTCTTTGTCCCTCTCCTTTCCTCTCTGAAATCAATAAAAACAAACAAACACACACACACACACACACAAAACACACCACATTCTAATTCTAACCCTGTCAGCATAGAACTAACCTTAATTAGCTTCTAAACTAGAAGAGCCAGTGATACATTGGGATAGCCCTAGAATGACATAGGAATGCCACACAGGGTGTGTGTGTGTGTGTGTATGTGTGTGTGTGTGTGTGTGTGTGTAGCAGTAAGTTAATTGCAGCGGTGAGAGAAGCCAATATTTATTGAACACCTACTATGTGATGTGCCAGGCATTATTGTACAAACTGTGACTATATTATCTCATTGATACTATCATTATACCCATTTTTTTGGCTTAAGAACTGAGTCTCAGGTTAAGCAATTTTTCAAGAGTCTCTCAGCTAGTAATGGGCAGATCCAGATATGGCTGCCTTCAGAGCCTGTGTTCTAACACACAGTTTGAGCTCTAAAATGTGGTGGTCTGCCCTAACCAGTTTGGCTCAGTGGATAGAGTGGATAGAGGTCCCAGGTTCCATTCTGGTCAAGGGCATGAACCTTGGTTGTGGGCACATCCCCAGTCGGGGGTGTGCAGGAGGCAGCTGATTGATGTTTCTCTCTCATCGATGTTTCTAACTCTCTATCCCTCTCCTTTCTTCTCTGTAAAAAATCAATAAAATATATTTAAAAAAATAAAATGTGGTGGCCAGAGACTAAGATGTGAGATAACACAATGGGAAAGCACAGACCTTTGCCCTCACTGACCTCACTTCATAAACTGGTCCTGAGAGGACCATGACCTCTGAATCTAGTTCACTGATCTGTAAAATGAACATGGTAAACCCAAAATGAAAGAGCCATTTTAAGGACTGGATAAAGTATGTGGAGAAATCACTTTCAAAATTGTAAAGACCAATACAAATATGATTGTTGTTTTATACAGAAAATTTCCCTAAGCTTAATGGCGGTGGGGGGGAGAGAAAGCATAGAGAAAGTACTTTTTACTCAGTTATTCCCTAATTTTAAACTAAAGTGAAATCAGGGTAGTATTGCAATCAATGGGAGCCAATGGGGAGAGATGTTCTCTACTCCACTGCTTAGAGGCTTTGAATTGTACCTTCTACCCCCATCTCTGGCTGCCACTAAAAGGTTTTGCATTTCATAGCTGGCATGCCCCTTATAAAAGTCCTTTTCAAATTGATTAAGTGGCCAGGCTTTTATAATTCCCTTGAGAGTTCACAAGTAAAGGTTTCAAGTAAGAAAATATTTTCTAATTTCCAGCCATTTTTCCCTTTTTTAACTTCATCTTTATTAATGATTTGGAAGATGGAGAAAGCAGCATATTAATTCACAGTTATGAGTTTACAATGTGATGTGTTAGCTAAAAAGGCCAGAACTATTTTGAGACACAATTGAGGGAGCAGTGCATCATGGGACCGAAGAGTGTCCCTTCTTATAGGCCTTCAGAGAGACGGCTACTGGAAGGTAGTATTCAATTTCTAGACACCTGTAAGCCAGAGAGATGTAAAACAACTGGAAGAAACTCAGCAAAAGCGATTAAAGAAAGTGTAGTGGATCATTATTGCCCTCTTGCCTGACCTTGTCCCATCAACTATGTGACATGATGATAGAGCCTGGCTTGTAGTTGTCTGCTTAATTATAGATGAAGCATGTTCCTTGTCATCTGCTAAATTCCCACTGTTATAGATACTGCTATTCAATGTGGATGTGTTTTTTAACACTGACTTAATATTCTCACACCCTAATGATGTCTAATAAAATATATACATCAAATTGGGTTAAAAAATGTAAGTCTAGGAAAGTTTAAGAGAAGTGGGGGAAGGGATCTATTTGTTGTACATAATTATTATAGAATCAGTTCAAGCCTGAAATAGTAGCTAAGTCTGTTGAGAATGAATTTGGCTCTTAGGCTTGCGAGCATTGGTGAAGACTTTTCCTAGGTCTCCACTGTGTGGTGTGGCCATGTAGATGACACCATAAACCAAGAATCAGTCCAATATGATCCATTTACTCCATATCTGGTATGTCTTCCAGTTGTACCATTTACTGAAAGACCCACATACTGGTCCAATGCAGAAACTATCTCTATAGTCTCAAAATTTCATAGGCAAGATGCTGTCCTTTGTATGTACTTGAAAGAAAATAAACCTTGACTTGCCCATCAAATAAATGGAGATGCTCAGGCATAGCCTCTTACTTCTTCCCAGTCCAGGCCTTGGTCGTCTGAAGGGATGTACACACCTCTCGTTTTTTCCCCCCAAAAGTGCATGTTGCATAAGTGAATAAATAGGTAAATTAATTAGAATCTCTTTGTTCTCTGTTTTAACCATCAGCACTGATTTTTTCTTCCTTCCCCAGAGCCCTTCAGCGCTGACGTCTGGGTTATGATGTTTGTGATGCTGCTCATTGTCTCAGCTGTGGCTGTCTTTGTCTTTGAGTACTTCAGCCCTGTGGGTTATAACAGGTGCCTCGCTGATGGTAGAGGTAAGTCCATTAAAACTGCTGCATTTCTGCATTTTTCTAGCTCTCAATTTCGAACCTCTGAACCCTTCATTTGCTTTCTTCTCCTTAACTTACCCATTTCTGAAAATGAACCCTCAGCTTTCTATGTCACCAGCTTGAAGACTCATTAGAAATCACCCAATTAAGATGTTAGTTTGAATCTATATGTCCCCACCCTGGCTCAAGTCTGATCCCAAACCCAGTTCCACTCGTAAGGAAATGAGAGGAAAGCTGGCAGGAGATACCTGTAGCATAGACGTGTAAGAGGAAGCTATTTTGATAACCTTAGGCTAAGAGCAGGTTACGAGAGTAGTTGTGGCTGAAAGAGTTCTCCATAGCCAAAGGACCACCACTGAGGTACAACATCTCCAAAGCACGTGTCCTGCTCTATCCCTCTGCCAGGAAGTATAAGAGTTGGATATTTGAAATACAATGGCAGGAGATTACAGTTCTCACCCACAGCTACTACTGGGGAAGTCCAGTTTCCTGGCTAGGTAAGTCCAGAGATGTGAGGGCTGCCTCTGTGTTTGAAGCATTTATGAGACTTCACAAAAAAGTTCACTAGCTTTAGGAAAGGGGCGATGAGGTCCTTATAAATAGCTCTTCTAAAACTTTCTGACACTCTAGGGTTAGGAAATATTACACCTTTTCTGAGAGTTTTATCCTGAAGTTAGACCTTCCAGATGAAAGATTCTTAGATCCTTAACCCTGGATATACATAAAAATTATCTGTGGGACACTTAAAAAACAAAGGTGCGTGACCTCATTTTCGAATATTCTGATTCACTAAGTCCAGAGTGGGGCTTGGACCATTGCATGTTTCAAAATAGTGGTTCTTTACCTTGGTTGCATATTAGAATAACAATCCCAGACCATACCAGTTAAATAAGAATCTCTGGAGATGGGTGCTAGGCTGCTGTGTTCTGAAATAGCTCCCGAGTGCTTCTGTTGACTTCACAGTCCATGCTGTGACCCACCACTGCACTGAAGTATTTCCAGGTGCCGACCTACCTTCTTATCTGTTGTGTGAACTCTGGGTGGAAGTTTGGCTGTCTCCACAGCATGGTACAGTCCTGGCTTTCCACCTCTGCCAGAGGGTCATCCAGAAGCTTGACCTGCTCCCCATCCCAATGGGCATTGTTAACAAGTGAAAGATCTGAGAAGCACATGACTACATACATAGGTTGACCATGTCAAGAGCTTAAGTTAGTGTGCCTCCTCCCCTACACTGGAAGAAAATCAAGGAGGCAAAAATTTAGATATAAAATTCAGAACAAGGACTTACTTTACAATTACTTTACCAAACGATGCTTTGTCTTCACAAAGGCATTCAACACGGGGCCACTTTAAATATTAAGACTCCTTGAGGCATTTTACAATGTATAAAACTTTTATTTATAAACATCTTTTTAGTTACACATCTGTTCCATGAAATCAGGTCTGTATGCACAGATGTGTGTGCACAGTTAGATATTAGGCTCGACATGTGTAGTCACCGGTGATTTAGTTGGCTGAGCAGATGCTGTAGGATCACAGGTAATATCGTAAGACCTGAGCTAATGTGTTGTAAAACTGTGCAGGCAGATGTTCATTTCTGCAGTGGAGGTGCTACACGCAGACCTAGGCATCAGGCAAGATCTCATCATCACCAAGAAGAGAAAGCAGTAAGGTCACAAGAAGATTATCAGCAGAAGTCTTGACACTATCTGTGTGAAGATCAGGGGAAGGAAGGTCAAGGATAGCCTGCCTCAGTGCCCACAGCTACATGTGGCAAAGCTAGGGGTTTATGACTACCTGCCTGGGCTTCCTGACATTCTTTTGTGCAGGAGCTGCTACTGTAGGAAACCATTTGGGAAGTGTTGGCATTGGAGAGGGGTCAGAGTTGTCCTTGAAACATTCAGTGCTTGATGCTAGACTGTAAGGAAAAACCAGGATAAAGTACATTGAAAGCCATTTAGCATCAGTGTGAATAAAATTGGAGGAGGTCTATGACAATGGTAGAAAAAGACCCCACACAGTTCTTGCTGACCTTTTGGAAGTTGAAATATTTTCTTGGTAGATAGTAATGTAAATTTTAGGAACAACAGGAATAGGGACATGTGTGTGATGATAATGGGGTGGTTGCCTTTGTTATTCGGATTTCATATGATCTTGAGGGTCTTAATCTTAGGGGAAGAAAGCTGGCCCCTCCAGTGCTCTGGCTGAGTCATGACCATTAGTGGGAGCAAGATCCCATATGCACCCAAGCCTCTGCTTTTTCTCCTGAGGAACTTTCTTATGCCTTCAGGGGGTCCCTCCCAGGAGAAGAGAGACACAAGCTCTCTACTTAAAAAGATTTCTGTGAAAGGGCTGGGTCTTGGTTGGAGGATTTCCTGCTCTGAGCAGGAACTTACCAGCTCTGTGTGCTTTGTAGGTTTCAACAGAACCAGTGACTCTGTCTTAACTTTCTGTCTTTGTCATTTGTTCATTTCAGAGCCAGGGGGCCCATCTTTTACCATCGGCAAAGCTATTTGGTTACTGTGGGGCCTGGTGTTTAACAACTCCGTCCCGGTGCAGAACCCAAAGGGGACCACTTCCAAGATCATGGTGTCAGTATGGGCCTTCTTCGCTGTCATCTTCCTGGCCAGCTACACTGCCAACTTAGCTGCCTTCATGATCCAAGAGGAGTATGTGGACCAGGTTTCTGGCCTGAGTGACAAAAAGGTAAGAGGACCATTTAAAACATTCTACCTTTCTCTCAATCTCATTCTGAACCATACTCAAAGTTCTCACATACCTGTTAATTTTTCTAACTCTTTAGAATCTACAGTTCTTTCTTATGTTTCCTTCAATTGGAGGAGGTCTGAAATGGGAGCAGAAAACAATATCCCTACTGAAATAATATTACTTCACATTTGCCTTCTGATTTGTGAAAGGTTCTTATAAGTACACCCAGTGTTGCAAATAAGGGGCTTGGTATGTTAGCAGCTTTCTGAGTACGTGGTACTTGTTGTTGGATACGCTTGGGTGGCCTATCCACACGGGGCTTCTGTTTGGTGTTATTAGAGGGCTGCCCCATGCACCCACGCTGAGGGCACTGGCCCATTGTGGCCTTCATTTTCCTCCCAGTGGGGTTTGGCTGTGGGGCTCTCCCTTTGTTCCCCTGCACACTCGTGTATTCCCATGGCTGAGCAGGAGGGTTGTTCTCCTTGTGTCCTGAAGAGAAGTAACTTCTATTTAACTTGATTGCCCTGTGTGATGCCGATTAATGGGCTGCCCCCATACCAATTGCAGGCCTCCCTGCTGGCCTGTGCAGTTGAGACAGGAAGGAAAGTGTCTGCTGGCTTCCAACTTTTCTGGGTGCAGATGTGCACAACCCATTCTGAATGCATCTGACTCTCTAGGTCTGCCAGAGCATCACGGCTTCCATGGCAGCTCTGTCTTCTGAAACCGTGATAACCAGATGGTCCACGACCAGTAATAGGAGCTACCTTCACGGTGTGTCCAGTAAAGCTCCTGGGTGACCCCAAAATGATTCTGGAGACTTGTACTTACAGCAAATTTTCTACTCTGTTGTCTTAAAATGTGGAAAATGTTGATTTCCCACCCCTTCCACCATGATGAAGCCATGAAATATAGAGATGTATGTTTAGACCAGCTAGGTCAGACAGTGAATGATTTATCACATGGGTGTGGTTTCCCAAAGATAAAACTTGAAATACTTAGCAAATGGTTTGAGAAGAGTGGAAAGGAGGAGATATTCTCTTCAGGGGCTCTATTCTGATTTCTCCATCTGCTCAACACTACTCACTAAGAATATTCTAAAGCATGTGAGAAAGATAAATAAGCTTCTTAGGGGAATAAAAAACTATATATATTTCACTGTGTTTACTTCATCATGTTATTTCATTCTCTGATTTGTCTTCCTTTTTATTTTATTTTTCTTTCTTATTTTTAAAAAATATTTCCTCTCTGGTATTTCTTTCTCCCTTATTTTTAGGATTTGTTTACTTCTCTCTTCTAACTCATGATTTATCATGCATTCATTCATATATTTATTCATTTATTTTTAAACCTTTTTCTCATTGTTCCTTTGTCTACATCCTTCCTTCATCATTTTCTCCCCTATCCCCTGTTACAATCACTACTTTTTGTGCCTCTTTCTGTAACCTGGGCAGTAGTGGGGCTACACACAGCTGCCTCTTCAGGGCTCCATGCTGGGATGTGGCGTGGCTGAAGCATGACAGATCATGTGCCTATGTGTGGGTTTGTCAGAGGTAAGGCCGGCATGTCCTCACACCAGGATATGGCAGAGATGTGGTGGATCGTGTCCCCACATAGAGTATGGCAGCACTCTGTTTCCATGCAGGAGGCAGCATGGTAGAGGTGTGGTGGGTCACAGACCCTCCTGGGGCTCTGGGCTGTAAAGTAGGGAATCCACCATATTTATCACCTTGTTTTCTTCAAGTGTCTGAGAATTGCTTAGGACACTATATTTATCTTTCTCAGACCTTCATGGGCTATCCAGCAACAATGGAATAACCTATTTGAACTAAGCATAATTGGGATGGAGGGGGATTGTTTTCCCTTCTGTGGTTTTGAAAGACATATCGTTCTAGGCTGCTGGAACCAGAAAGACTTCACCTGTCTGTCTTCCACACCATGTTGTTTATGATCTGAAACGTTGAATCTCATCAGTTCTTTGCTTAAAGAACTTCAGTGGCTCCACTACTTATAGAATAAAGAAGATTTTTTTACATGTGGCTTTCAAAGCTTTTACAGATGATTCCCCATGTGTCTCATTAGCCAATGCTTAGATTCTTGCATCCTACAATTCTAGGCATCCTCCACTCGTTATCCTCCCCAACTATGCCTCTATCTATGCATCTGCCTAAAATGTTCTTCTCCTCACTTCATTCACCAAACTCCTATTGGAACTTCAGGACCCAGATTAGAGATCACTTCATTTGTGGAGCTTTCCTTAGCTCCTCTGGGCAGTTATTCATTCTCTCATCTGTTCTCATCTGTCATGGCAATCATTCATACCTTTATCATAACTCTTGTCTTCCACATTGTACTGTAGTAACCTGCAGGTCTGTACTTGACTGTATCTCCTTCTATCTGGTCATGAGCTTCAAAAGGTCAGTGATCATAACTTGGTTAACATTTTTTTAAGTCTGTTGGGAGAGAGGGAGAGAGGGAGAGAGGGTATATTTACAGAAGAGCCTCTTGTGCAGAGCTGAGTTACTAAACATTATAGGCAAAGAAAGCAGCAAGAGAGCCAGAACCCTTTAACAGCTGTTTAATTTGAAAATGCTGCAAATGGTTACCTCTGATACATTTCAGAACTTTGCAAATGGCAAAATAGTAAAGTGTGAGCATCCTACCAGAAAGTGTCAACATAATTTACATAATTATAGAAAACATTTAGTAACTAATGACATATAACTATATATCGGTGTCAGGAGCAGTAATATAAATTAGAGAGTTTTTTGAAAGTACACTGAAAATGTCGAAATTCTTATTGTTTTTTTTACTTAGAACACCTAAAGAAAACATAGACTTGGGACTAACTTTGCATGAGAGGAAGTGTATTCTGTGAATTTAGAAAAAGAAAAGAATAAAGTCATCAAAACAATATTCAGAATAGAAATGAGGTGATTTTGAAGATTTTTTCAGTGTAATTAAAGTTTCATCAAGGAAAGTAACAGTTAAAATGAAGAAAGATTTCTAAACTTACTCTATCACATATGACATATCTTCTATTAACTCAGATCAAATGATAAATAGCTTAGGTTATGATGGGAAGATATTTGTAGCCATTACATTTATATATTTTTTTAAAAATTATCTTCAACTTTATGGCAGAGACATGTTCCCATATCCCATGCATGTTAAGGCACAAAGTCAGAATGCTCAGAGTTAAATTTCCATGAAAATATATTTCGGGGCTTCTTTTTACTGGATGGCTTCCATTTTGCAATAGCGCATGACATCAGTGAATTCAGAATTACCCACTACTTGCTATAACTAAATATGGGTGCAAGTGCTAACATATAGCAGCCTTGCTGTACATTCCATCAGCTCCCCCGTGGGAGGACAATGGAAGGGAGCTGGTGACATCTTTCTTCTCCTAACAAAGAGCCCACAATGCAAATTCTCATGTTTCTCGCCTATCTAGATGGATTTCTCCTTTCGCAGTCTGCCAGCCACAGTGTGGAGGGGAAAGAGCTTGGCCAGGTGAAAGATGAGACATATTTGCTGGGCACTGGGCACATTAAGTATGTCACAGATATGTTATATGTATAATCTTCATACAGGTATGATTAGTCCCATTTTATCAATAAGGACACTGAGACTCTGGGAAGTTTAGTGAATTCCCTAAAGTCACACATTATCAAGTGACAGAGACAAGGTTTGAGCCCCTGTGTGTTTGGCTCTAAAATCACTTTGCCAGGATGTCTCCGTTATAGCTAATCCCAGACAAAGCTATGACATAGCTAAGGATTGGGATTGACACCCCTACCCCCACTTTCTCATTTCATTGCCTACACTCTCCTTTAAAGACTTTCTGTATCAGCTCCACTTAACCCAACCCTTCTCAGGGCATAGTACACTACCACTACCAAGACTAGTATTTCTACTTCTACTACTACTGCCATTACTGGTAATAATAATAACAGTTAACATAACCTCAACAATAATATCCCTGCTGACATTTCTTCAGCTTTTATGAGTCAGGCATAATGCCAAATACATTACATAGATTACCTTATGTAATGGTGCTATTAATATCTTCATTTGTACATGAGGAAACTGAAGCTTGGAGAGGTTAGGTAATTTGCCCTTCTGATGTTCCTGGCTGCCTATAGCCCCTAAACAGTGTGCCATCCTGTTCAGCTACCCATGGTTTTAATCGCCCTCCTTCCTATCCTCCCATCTACCTTGTCATGACAAGTTTCCAAGTTAGATCCTTTTCCTCTCCTAAAAAGTAGCTATCTGATTAACAGGTCCATAATAAGTAGATAGTATTTTAACATTTGCACTTTCTATAATATGTCTTTCAGAGGTTTTACTTTAAACAGACAATAATGATGATTTCTAGTAATTGGGCAAGCTAATGGCCTTCAAATTGACTTTAGTGTGGTCCCATTGTGACCCTGAGGTTTATGCCGCTGTTGGAGGGTGGGAGAGGTTGGCAGCAGGGGAGAGAGAGGTCGGTTATGAAGTCAGGGGTGAAGAAAGCCTGCAGGGAGGCAAAGGCTGCGAAGGTCACTGGGGGCCGCCATCTGGCCACCGTGCACCTGAGGGTATGTGGCTCTGTCCTGCTTTACACATTCCTACTGTCAGTCTGATGTACACCCACATCATATTTTGCAGTTCTGTTCCATAAGGAACTAGTGGAATTTTATTAACTTCAGCTTGTCACAGAGGTGCTCATCTGGCTAATGAGGGCAGCATTATCTGCCTGCATCATTGGAGGTACGGTTAGGATGGCCTACTAACAACTAAATGAGAACCCCTGGCTTTTCCAGGTAACGATGATTCAGAGTTTCTGAGAAGTCCCATAGAGTCTGGAAGTCACCTCCTATCTTTTTGGGATACAGGCAGGGTATAGCTTTGATTAGTCAACATGCAAACAAATAAGTAAAGAGGCATTTTTGGAAGAAAATCAGCATTTTATACCACTACAATGAAATGTTGGGATGGTGTCTGAGCATGTG